GAGATCATATATGCCAAAAATCGGAAAAAATAAACATTCAGAGATTAAGTAATAGGATAAAACTTTTCGACGGTTATAAACGAAACATCACGATTTAATGGTTATTTCAACTCTGATTTTCATGATTTTTTACAGCTACACTCCTTGACCCTGTATGAATACAATGATTGCAATTGATCGTCAATTTAAAATATTTACACTAGTAGATACCACAAAATCTTGTGTTATATTTAATAAAAGTATAAATAAACTCTTATTTGTTAGTGAATATATTGTTTTCATGGCATACGCATTCTACGAAACTAGTTTCAACGATCCAACTGTCAAATTTGTTTGTTTACACTTCGAGATCATATACGCCAAAAATCGGAAAAAATAAACATTCAGAGATCACGTAATTGGACAAAACTTTTCGATGGTTATAAACAAAAATCACGATTAAACAGTTATTTTAACTCCGATTTTGATGATTTTTTACAGCTACATTCCTTGACCCTATATGAATACAATGCACCAATTTGATCGTCAATTTAAAATATATATTTTCTAACAAAAACCCAATCCGAACTACAATAATATATTTTTCTAACAAAATAATTTTTTTATTTTATTTATTTTTGTATAGACTTTGCGAGACGAAGATTATTATTTCGTCGCGCAAAGTCATCCAAATTTTTTTATTTATTTAATTTTAGTAAAGACTTTGCGAGACGAATATTATTATTTCGTCGCGCAAAGGCATCCAAAAATTTTTAAAAATAATTTTTTATTTATTTATTTTTGTAAATACTTTGCGAGACGAATCACTATTCGTCGCGCAAAACTTTGTGCACCGAATTCTAGTATTCGTCGCGCAAAGTTACTTTGCGCGACGATTCTTTGTCGTCGCGCAAAGTTTTGTCGCGCAAAGTGACTTTGTGCGACGATTTGTTTTTCGTTGCGCAAAATTGAGTCGCGTAAGACTTTGAGCGACGATTATTTATATTTGTCGCGCAAAGTGACTTTGCGCGACGAATTTTGTTTCGTCGCGCAAAATTTGGTCGCGCAAGGGGTTTTTTTTAGTAGTGAATTGGTGTCCGTAACAATACTAATAAGAAAATGCAATATTAAATCAATAGCCCAAATTGCTGGTTCCTTACACTCAAAATTTGAATCCCCTTTCCCATAGATTATAGACTATAGTAATTCAAAATACCACATTGTCAAAAAAAAAAATAAACATCATATCTACTTTGCTCTTCATTCCCCTTATACACATCTAGTTTTGACTTTGTTCATGTATACGTACAAGGAAAATAATTATGTACTTGCCTAAATTGATAGCTTTCAATCCGAGCAATGTATCACAAGATTATCTTTTATGATTTGGGATTTTTCTGTGAAGAAAAATCAAAAGGGTTTGAAGCTTAAGTTGACTTTACAACACAACGTTTTTCCTATAAATACACTGTCTCCTTCATTTCTACACATCACATTCCAATCACCAAACCCTACTTGAAGCCTTGAACAAAGATCAAAACAATGGCTTCTCCTGACTATTATAAGTCTCATTCATCCCCACGTGTTCCAGTGCTATTGGTTCTCTTCTTTCTCGTGATCAATATCACCCCATCTTTGGCTCAAGACACCCAACAACTGATCGATCATATTTGCAGGCAGATGGAGGAGTTTGGGCTTTGCACCCAAACTTTCAAGGAGAATTTGAAGTCTCCAAACGCTGATATTGTTGCCCTCACCCAAATAACCATAGAGCGCGCCACAGACAATGCCACCAAGACACACGACTTTATCAGGCAGCTGCTAGGCAACACAAACGATCCTGCACTCAAAAATGCCCTCACAGAATGTGAGAATGGTTACCGTGTGGTGATGGAGTCGTTTGACTCGGCTGCGCTGTCGTTTTTCCAGAAGGATTACGACAGTGTTCAGAGGTATGAGACTGTGACACCGAGGGCTGAAGCCAGCTGCGAAGACTCACTCAGCACACCGCCTAACACTCAGAACCCTCTTACTAATAGAAATAGGCAGATGAGGATTTTGATTGCCATGGCTTTGGTTTCTTTGCATGACCTAATCGCTACCCAGCACAACTAGAACTGGTTCTTCTAGAAGCAACCAACCATTTGGATCTCTTAGAAAAAGTTTCAGAAGTTTTCCGATTATGATGCTATTATATGTATGATTATTAGATTATTAATGGTCACTAAACTTTGACTGTGTTATGTTATGAATATTGAAGCTACATGTTTGGCAAAGGATTCACAATCCTAGTCACGTGTTTGGTCGTCTAAAAATAACTTGAATTTGATTATGTCTAATCATCCTAGTCTAAAATGTAAATGAATTATTCTAAGAAGCTTGTAGTTTAAGTGGTAGTTAAGCACATTAACCCTTGCGCCGGAGATCATAAATTCGATTCTCCCCTCTCCCAATATCACTTGTATCAAATGTAGTAAAATTATCAATTAATTCCATCAAGAAGCTGTGATTAATCCAATGTAATCCAATATGAACCTCGTAAATTGTGATAACATGCAAATGAGGGTTTGATTAGGCAGGCAGCTGGATCATAGTAAACCCAGCCCCGAGTTAAGCCTTGGCTCAAACTTGGTTCGGTCTTGTACCAACCCAAACCCCAATATAACTAAAAAAGGGAATATATATATATGAGACAAAATATTAAACTTCATATGGCAAATAATCTGTTTTTTTAATTAAAAAAATCAAGTCAAATTATCTGTTCACGAAAGAAACTTGGCTTAATGATTTAGGTATCCTTATCAAACTATGGCAAATAATCTGCTTGTTTTAAAATCAAGTCAAATTATCTGTTCACGGAAGAAACTTGGGCTAATGATTTAGGTGTATCCTTATGACTTTGGTGTGTAAATTTGCGCAAAAGAAAAAGGACATATGTGAGATTATTTTTGGAATATAAGATAAATGTTCCTATGTTGTTCATGCACATAAAATCGCATACAAGAATTATATATAAGACAGTACATGCATGCATACTTGAGCAACACAAATGGCTTCTGCTAATGCTCATTGCTGCATCAATCTTCTTCCTCTAGCCGTTGTCATATTCATCCTCTATGCCGTCGGTCCTTGCTTGAGTTTCAACCAGCCAACCCGACAGAGAATCGACAAAGTCTGCCGCCAAATGGAGGAGTATGGATTCTGCGACCAAACCTTCACCCAAAACATAAAAACTCCATCAGCGGACTTTGCTCGGCTGACCCAAGTAGCCCTAGACCAGACCACACAGAATGCAGCAAGCACACAAGCTTTTATACTCCAGCTTATTGCAAAAGTGACAGATAAGCTGTCACGCCCCGAATTTTCAACAACAATTAATCTGCAAAATTAAACAGAACAACCAACGATCCGGGACGCGAAGCTCGGAACCTTCAACAAAAGTACCTAGAAATTTAAACTTTTCTTTTTTGATACAACACCACTGTTCCGAACCACAATGTCAATAATGACTCAACTCTTCTGAGTCAAATATTACATTACAAACTCACAACATAAATGAACAATCATCATTTTACATAATATGCTCCTCAGAGCTTATTTCACACAGCGGAAGTCTAACACTCACCAACACTCTCACACCACACTTTACAGTATGTGGAACCACCAATGAGCCTCCTGCTCCTCACCTTAATTCTCCTGCTCACCGTCTCTACCACCTGCAGGATTTTCCCCTACACCATTGAATAGTGCACCGGGTTCACCACAGAACAACCCGGTAAGCTTTCTAAAGCTCGTATGAGTAAACCACGTCCACAGTATAATATGTCAATTTCACATAATATACAAACACATGCACTTTCATTAGCACACCACAATCCTTGTATAACCAAGGTAATCATAATCATCAATATCATCACAATCACAATTCTTTTATTTTATTTAAAGAACTGTTTCGATCACCACCTGTGACCACACCAAAACTCTTTATTTCAAAGTAGTTTTCACACGTCAATTGTTTGACAGATAGAAGAGAGAATACTATGAACCTCTAATCTATAACACTACAAAACACCATAGTAGTGTTCACTCATGATTACACACCAGTCATGAGTACTAGATGGCGCCAGACTAGAGCTCTAACTGTTCTTGGGTCTTGCTCCCTAGGGTAATTTATCCCTCATTATTTGCCACGAGAATGCCCACCTGACAAACTCAGAAGGGATTCAAGGTATTCTCACCTAAATCCATCAACACCAAAACACCAACACCAAAACACCAACGCCAAAACAATATAAAATGTAGTTTCACATTAAACATTGTTTTATAGCCAAATACACCAATCACAGCAATATATATTTATTATATATATTTATGTGGTTATTCACGAATGAATTTCCACCATACATCCACAACATATGTTATATGGTTAAACACCAAAATCTCCAATAAAAAGTATTAATTCAAAACAAAATAGGTTTCACTTACCTCATGAACCGTTGATGAACAAGTTCATGTGTTTTAAATCAATTAAAACACTTTATAAAATCACAACCAACATGTTAATTATAGCCACTAACATTATCCAAGGTCACATTATAATAAATATAATA